TATTCTAATTGCAGGAAAACAGAAAGGTCCAAAAAGAAAGAAGAGTACGAAGTGTTCTGGTTTGGATTGCCTAAAATGCAAAAGCCTGCTAAAAGGGATGTGTTGATCCATCAGACGATGCAGGGAGCTGATGATGTCTTTTGGTTTTTGTTTCAATTGTTTTCGGATTACTTATATAATACTCTGCTACTACTAATACCCCAAAAAAGAATTTGATTTGTAGCTTCACCGATCAAACTCTTCTTCGTTTCCTTTTTCAGAGATCAGAACGTCCAGGTACTCCAACTCTTGCTAATATCTATGTTATTACAATTAAATTGGCATGCCAGAGTCAATTCGCTTTATACACCTACTATCAGGTGCATGCTTAAAAGTAAGAACAAAAATAAAGCCACTTAATCCAGACACCCCTACAAAAGAGAATCCAACTTTTTTGAAGGAAAGATTTTAGGATCCGTAGTAGCTAAATTGGATTTTAACACTACTGTGTGTGTGTGTGTGTGTATATATATATATATATATATATGATGACAGATGCGAATTTAAATTCTCTGCATTTGTCTCTTGATCGACATCCAGTTTCCTCGAAAGCGGGTAATCTTATGTACCTGCACCCATTAGCAATGTATTCTAATTAGGCGTCAACGAGATCGTCATCAACAGGAAAAAGCGAGTTCTCAAGGAAGGGGATTTTTTTTTTTTTTAGAAAAGTATAGTACCATTAAAAAAGTGAAGTGCCATTTCCAGGCAAGTTCTGAACCATCGTGAGACAAAAGCTTCCAATTCTTTATTGTAATGTTTAATCACTAATTACTAATTTTTCAATTCTTTCAGGTGGAGTGCATGCATTAAACCGCATATTAGACCCATCAAATACAGTGTCAAGACTCAAAACATGATTTTGTTGGCTCCACCACATTGTTATATATATATATATGTATGTAATCAATGGTCCCTTTCACTGTGACGGTCAGTTTTCATGGGTTTTAGAAGTTGCTCCAATTACTGGGGCACTTGAGACCGTTGGCTAGAGTACCGAATTTTCATGAGCCACAAAACATATACATATATATAATAACAAAGGAAAAGAAAGGAAGGTTTAAATATCAGTACTCTTCGTTCTTGCCTGTGAAAATAAAATTCGTGCGATGAAGATTCAATGAATTTAGAGGGGATGAATTCCCAAGTTACATCGCGGAGGCCCAAGGAAAGCGACTGATTAATCTTCAAAATTGACCAAAAACTGCTTCTCGGATAAAAGAAAGAAGAAGTGATCGTGAGTCTAGTTTTCTTAATTAATAAACTTCAACCAAATTTGAGTTTTTTTTTTGGGATTTTTGAATACTTACTACAGGAGAATCAAAACTACAATAGTACTGTTTGAACAGCAAATACTCTCTATGTTATGCATTCTGCCGAATGGTATGGGTATGGAACTCAAAAGTTTTGAATCCTGGTCTTGCGAGGGGCGTCGTCTGCGAAGTTGTTCAGGGTTGAGAAATGTCCATTGGACTAATATTTTTATTGATTAATGTTTTTGCTGCACCTTGAGACGGCGCAGCGCGGCAGGGTTAGGAAAATAATTTTCTAGTGAGAGGACAAATAAAATAAAATAAAATTCTTACGCATGGAACTTGAAGAGGTAAATTCTGACCGGATGAAGAGAATTTACCGGACTGAGAATACCTCCTCCTGGAGACTGGTCACTGTGACGAAGTCACCTGCTCAGGCTATGGGGGGGGCTGAATCCCCCGATATGACTCCGAAGCTTAAGTCAGTTCGGAAGTAAAGAGAGTTGGATAGTGAATGAGGAGAGTATTGTTTTACCTGAAATTCATCATCCCCCTTTTTAGTAGAAGGGTTGAGTATTTATAGGGGAAGGTTGCGTGGGAAGAACCTCCATCATAGGTCCCTAGAGATCTGATTCGGTCAGCGCATCCGGTGGATTAGACCGGTCCCTATGAAAAGACATGATGGGACGTTGGAAAGGTTCAGGCGACGCGTCAGGACAACCTTCTGTCGGGTGTCAGAGGCTCCAGGAGTCACATCCAACCTTTATGCTGGAGTCGGGTGTCCATAGGTCACCTCGGCTATGAGATTGACCGAGGTGACCAAAGGGCGGGGAGTGACTCGATGGACGGTGTTCGGAGCGGGAGACCCGGGGTGAGCCACCGGATTACCCCGGCCGAGACCACCATCCTCACTAAGCCCCCCAAGCTTCGAGAAGGGCGAAGTCGTTGTCATCCGAAGTCGTACCTCCTCGAGGCTGATGAGCGTGTAAAACACGGAACTGAGAAAGGAGTGAGGAATGAGTGAAAAGATGGCTGTCAGCTTTAACGTCGGATCCGTAAAATCAATCGTCAGGTGAACAGGATTTGCATTAATGAGGAGAGAGAACGGGTGCTGTAGGAAGTTCGAGGGGTGCCGACTCTTCGGTTTCCCTCTGCTGCCTATAAATAGGGATCTTTTTCACCGTTTTATTCTCTACTAATAATCAAAAATCACTTCAGAGCTCTGTCTCCTCGTCGTTTCACTTCGGCAATTTCCTACAAATTATCCTCCACCACTTCTTCACTTCGCATTCCCTAGTAAGTATACTTCTCTTTTCTGCCCTTATGGCTAGAGTCGCTCATACCCACAAAGAAACAGTGAGACCCAACTTCACCGAGGCAGAGAGGCCCGACCCTTCCGAGGAAGGACATACAGTTGGCTCCGGGGATGGAGGTGAGGGGGCGTCTCACCGAGCTGAAACTTTGGAAGAACAGGCCGACGAGATCGAGGTTGATCCCGAGGTCTTGTATGACGACGACCTCGGGGATGAGGTTCCTAAAGATGAAGGCGTGCAGGAGCCCTCCACTCCTCCTAATGTAACAACGATGAACTATGGTCACATGCCAGCCTTCCGCAGTGCTATGTCGGAAGCTTCTGTGGCCGGGGTGATACGTAAATACCCTTGGAGAAGGGACTACAGCATTTACGTACCTCAGCCGGACCAATCGGCCGCCCTGCCGCCTAAAGGGAGGGTGGCGGTATACATGGATCAACTAGAAGCCGGGCTCAGAATGCCTACTACGAGGTTTCTCCGGGATTGCCTGAGGTACTGGGGGGTGAGGATCACTCAACTCACCCCGAACGCGATCCGGGTCCTAGTCGGCTTCCAATTGCTCTGCCGACATCAGAAGATCGAACCCACCGTCAACCTCTTCCGTCGTTGCTATTCACTTAAGAATAGCGGGAGTGAGAAGGGCTGGTTTTACTTCGGGAATAAGGTCCCGAAGTTGGTGTATGATGCGCCGAGCTCGATAAAGGAGTGGAAAAGGAACTTCGGTCAAAGAGACTTCCCCGGGGAAACTGGAAGAGCGCAACTTCCAGAAACTGACGGGGTCGGGCCTCAAAATCAACTGCTGGGACTTCCCTGAGAACGTGCTTGTGGAAGGAGGGCTCAGTCGAGCCCTAATCAGCCCGGATCACCCCGTCCTGATCTCCACTAGGCTTCATATACCCCGTACTTTTCCATTTTTCTCTTCTTGTTCCTTCTTCTTGAATTCTAACTGACTCTGCTTCACTCTTTGCAGTGACAAGACTTTTCGATCTCATTACTTCGGGAGAAGTCGAGGTGGCGAAGAGGCCATCAAAGAAGCGCAAGGACGCTGCCGAGACCTCTTCCAGGGCGGCCAAAAAGGCCGCGGCAACAGCGGGCACCCGTGAGCCCGCCGTGGTGATAATAGGCGAGGGTTCGCACACCTCGGGCACGGCTGGGAGATCCAAGCCATCCATTCCGACAGGGATCCCTTCCCGTGGAGTGACCTTGGTTTCTCCACCTCGGGGAAGAGGCCGGGGTGCTACAATGGTTCAGGATCACCCCATCACGGGGAACTCATTGTTCAACCTCCATCATGTACCCTCTCTCACAGCAGGGGAAGACAAAAGGCACTCCGGGGCACAATTTTGTCCGGAGTGGGAGATTAATGTGAATGACCGCTGCAAGAATCCCCAGGTCGCGCACGAGCTTCTGGTGAATTCAGTCTTGCCGCGGGACAATACTTACACCAGGAAGCTCGATCCAGCCGAGCTGATGCAAGGAACAGCGGCCTCCTGGGCTGCCACTACGGCGTTCGTCGCCGAAATGTACCAACGCTTCGGGGACTTCATCAGCACCTACGAGTCACCCTCCGAGCTTCAGAAGAAAATTGCCGACCTGGAGGAGAAGCTGAAGGCCACCGAGCAGGAACGGGATAAAGCCGAGGCAGCAAGGGAGAAAGCCGTGGTCGAGAACAACTCCCTGCTCACCGCGCTTGACGAGGAGAAGCAAAGAAGAGCTCAACAAGAGCAGTCAAATCTGGAGGCCATAAACGCAGCCGGGGTCTCCGCCGTAGAGGCGTTCCGCAGGTCCGAGTCCTTCGTTCGTGACCTCGGCGAGCTCTCAAGGCCGAGCTTCATGCTAGGTTACACGTCGGCCATCACCGAGGCGACACCCTTCCTCTCCTCTGAGCAGCTAGAGTCCTTTCAGAGCACCTCACACTACAACGAGGATGCCAAGGAGCTATGCAACCGCATAGCTGAGGGCATTCAGGCTGGGAAGGACCTGGCTGAGGTCCGGGCCGAGTTCAACAAATGGCTCCTAGAATCTGAACTAGATGGGGATAGCGCCGAAGGGAGTCAAACCAGTAAAGAGGCTGAAGGAGGTCAGGCCGGCGAAGGGGCTAAGGCCCAGCCAGACGCCGAGGTGGGGGGTGAAACTGTAGGCCAGAGTGCTTAGGAGCACCCATTTTTGTAATAGGTGGACTAATAGGTGTACCGAGGTCATGGATGACTTCGGCTTATTGCTCTTTCATACTTCAATGCAATTGACTTTTTCTCACATGTTTTTTGCTAATTGAGTTCGGTTTTCTCTTGTTTTTCTTCTTTTGGCTACTGTTTTGTCCCCTTATTTTTTACTTAAGATAAAGGAGAATAAGTGAGAAATAACAATGGAATGAGATTCGACAATACGTACCCCCTCAAGGGAAATACATCTTAAGATTCTCAGCGTGCCAAGTCCGGGGCACTCGCGAACCATCTCGATAAGCTAACTTACAATATCCATTTTGGCTGGACTCAACAACGCGGTAGGGTCCCTCCCATTTGGGGTTAAGTTTTCCCTGAGATTCAGCTCGGCTAACCGAATTCTTCCGGAGTACGAGATCTCCCGGGCTGAACCTTAAGTGTTTGACCCGAGCATTGTAATAGCTAGCTAGGATATTTTTATAGGTAGCAACCTTGGCTGCGGCTATATCGCGCTTCTCTTCGGCAAGGTCGAGGTCAACTCGCCGCTCCTCTTCGTTGAGTTCTGCAGCATATGCGGCCATCCGTGGACTGGGTGTAATAAACTCAGCCGGAACGACAGATTCAGATCCATAAGTGAGGGAAAAAGGAGTTTCTTGGGTGGCCGACCTCGGCGTAGTTCGGTATGACCACAGCACACTAGGAAGCTCTTCCATCCATGACGACCCAGCCCGGTGGAGCCTGGTCTTAAGGCCATGGAGGAGGGTTCGGTTGAAATTTTCGGCTTGTCCATTAGCTTGGGGGTCTCCGACCGAGGTGAAATGTTGTTTGATCCCGAGCTCGTCACACCAGGCCTTAAAGGGGTTGTCAGCGAACTGCCGGCCGTTATCCGAGATGATTACCCGAGAAAGGCCGAAGCGGCAAACCACGTTTTTCCAAAAGAATTTTTGGACAGCCACTCCGGTAATGCTTCTCAGGGGTTCTGTTTCGACCCATTTAGTGAAGTAGTCTACTGCTACCACCACGTAGGCATAACTACCTGGAGCCCTTGGGAAGGGGCCGATTATATCAGTTCCCCATTGCTCAAAGGGCCAGGGAGAGGTGATAGGAATCATTAAATTGGTCGGCTGATGATGCTCAGGAGCATGGTGCTGACAAGAGGGGCAACAAAGGACCATGACCTGGGCGTCCATCTTCATGGTGGGCCAGAAGTACCCGAGTAATAAAGCTTTTTTCACCAGCATCCTGAAACCGACATGAGCACCACAGAGTCCCTCGTGAATATCTTGAAGAATTCTGTTGCCTTCCTCCGGGGTGATGCACCGCAACCAGGGGCCGAGGTAGGACCTCTTGTACAAGAGGCCTTGTCGAAGAGTGTACCGAGCTGCTTTACGTTGAAGCTTACGTGCCTCAGCTCGGTCTTCGCGGAGTTCACCTCGGTCGAGGAATCGAACTAGTGGCCCCATCCAGGTGTCCCCGGGATAAATGGGGTACACCTCTCCTCCTTCGTACCCTGGCTCGGCTAAGACTTCGACGAGAACAGTTTTGTTCAGGTCGGCAAAAGAGGTCGAAGCAAGCCGGGAGAGAGCATCGGCTCTCCTGTTTTGCGATCGCGGGATTCTCTGGATTTCGAAAGACTCGAAGTGAGCCACCAGCTGAAGGACTTTGGAGAGGTAACGTTGCATTACCTCCTCCTTGGCCTCGTATTCACCTAGTATTTGGCACACGACGAGCTGAGAATCACTGTAGACTAGAATGTGCGCGGCTCCAAGCTTACGGGCAAGCTGCAGTCCGGCTATAACCGCTTCGTACTCAGCCTCATTATTAGAGGCTGCGAAGTCAAATCTTAGAGCGTATGAGCACACATCTCCTTGGGGATCTTCGAGGAGCAGCCCGACTCCACTCCCCCCACTATTGGACGAGCCGTCCACATGTAAGATCCAGCGCTGAGTCTCGGGGGTGGACGGAGTGGGAGCTTGGATAGTAGCCGGGGTGGCAACCTGTACCTGGTCAAAAGTGAGCTCGGCAAGGAAGTCTGCGAGAGCCTGAGCTTTAATCGCCTTGCGCGGTTCATAGGATAAGTCGTATTCCCCCAACTCGATGGCCCACTTGGTGAGGCGCCCAGAGGCCTCCGGTCGCGACAAGACCTGTCGGAGTGGCTGGTCTGTCCTCAAGCAGACGTGGTGAGCCAAGAAGTAGGGCTTGAGCCTTCGAGCTGCGTGAATCAGGGCTAGCACGAGCTTCTCCGCATGAGTATATCTGGTTTCCGGACCTCGGAGAACTCGGCTGACATAATACACAGGTGTTTGGACACCTTCCTCCCTTATGAGTACGGCACTTACCGCTTCGGCGGCGGCGGACAGGTACAAGAACAACTTGTCCCCGGAGCGAGGTGAGGTGAGTGTTGGGAGGCGGCAGAGGTATTCCTTTAACTGCTCAAATGCCTTCTGACACTCCTCTGTCCAGGAGAAGTCGGTGGCCTTTTTGAGAACTTTAAAAAATGGTAGGGCCTTAGATGCGGACTGCGATAGAAACCGGTTCAGGGCGGCCAACCGCCCAATGAGCCTCTGTACATCGCGGACGCACCGAGGTGGGGACATTTCTTGAATTGCCTTCACCTTGTCTGGATTCGCTTCAATCCCTCGTCGGGAAACAAGATATCCCAGGAACTTTCCCGAAGTGACCCCCAGGACACACTTCTTGGGATTCAACATCATTCGCGTCTTTCGAAAAACTTTCAGAACTTCTTCCAGGTCGGCCAGAAATGTGGTGGTGGTACAGCTTTTGAGGAGGATATCATCCACGTAGGCCTCGACAGTTCGGCCGATCTGATCTTGAAAAGCCTGGTTTACCAAGCGTTGATACGTGGTCCCGGCGTTCTTTAGTCCGAAAGGCATTGTGGTGTAACAGTAGGTGCCTCGATCGGTGTAGAAGGCGGTCTTCTCCTGATCCTCCGGGCTCATTCCGATCTGATGGTACCCCTTAAAGGCGTCGAAAAAGCAAAGGACTTCGTAGCCCATTGCTGAGTCTACCAAGGTATCAACCTTGGGTAGTTGGTAGCAGTCCTTGGGGCAGGCTTTGTTGAGGTCAGTGAAATCAACGCACATTCTCCAAGCCCCGGTATCCTTCTTTACCATGACCGGGTTGGACAGCCAGGTCGGGTACTGAACCTCCCGAATGATTTTGGCCGGGAGAAGCTTGTCCACCTCTTCCCCTACAGCTCGGCTACGCTCGGGGCCGAGGTGCCTTCTTTTTTGTTTGATCGGGCGGATCTGGGGGTCGACGTTCAGCTCATGTATCATGAGGTGATGTGGGACCCCCTGGACCTCCTCTGAGTTCCAGGCAAAGATGTCCCGGTAATCTCTGAGAAGATCCAACATCCCCTTTTTGATGAGCCTGGGTAATCGGGTACCAACTCGCACCGTCTGATCGGGCTTCGTGGGGTCCAGAGGGAACTCTTCCACTTCATCCCCAGTCTCTAGCCTCGGTGCCTTCTCAGCCCGCCGAGGATCGATGCTGTCAATCGAGAGGATATTTGACCTTCTCTCGGCCCTCACTTCGGAGGTTGAGGGTGAGGCTGCCTGTAGAGTGGCGAGGTAGCATTCTCGGGCGGCACTGACATCGCTGCTTACTTCGGCCACCCCAGCAGGAGTGGGAAACTTGAAGCTCAAGTGGTAGGTGGAATATACTGCCCGCAGAGCATTTAGTGTAGGTCGACTTAGGAGCAGATTGTAAGGCGAGTCGGCTTTGACTATTACGAAGTTAACGGGGACGGTCCTGCAGCGGGGGTGGCGTCCAACAGTCACAGTCAGAGTCACCATCCCTTCGGGGTGCACGATGTGTCCCCCGAACCCCACAAGAGGGGTTCTTACCGGGGTCATGCTCCCCCTGGCCAGCTTGAGGCTCTCAAAGGTGCGCAGGTACATGACGTCCACTGAACTCCCCGGGTCAATGTAGACCTTTTTTACAATGTAATTGTTGGTGAGGACTTCAATCACCAAGGCCTCATGACTACTAGAGGCAGCTGGCACGGGGTCGCTGGGCCCATAGGTGATCATCTCGGCCAAGCGAGAGCTCGACTCGGCCTGTTCCGGATTGGCTTGCCTGTAGGTCCTCTTCCGGGAGTTTTGACTATCTCCCCCCGTCGGACCCCCGGCGATAGTGTTGATCACCCCGGCAATATTTGGTCCGTAACCCAACCCCTGGCCTGATGATCCGTCTGGAGGGGGCCTTTTGGTTTCCCTAGGATCCTCAGGAGGTCGGCAACTGCTGCGTGAAATCCGCCGTTCATCTCGGCGATGGTCATTTCGTCCATCACGGCGATTGTCCCGGCGTTGATCACCTCGGTGGATGAACTGCTTTAAGTGACCTTGTCTGATCAGGCTCTCGATCTCCCTCTTTAGATCGTTACAATCTTCAGTCTCATGCCCGATGTCCCGGTAATACAAGCAGTAGAGGTTCGAGTTCCTCTTGTCTCGGCTACCGTTCATCTTGGAGGGTGCTTTCCCGAGGTTGCGTTGTTCCATTACGGATAGCACCTGAGATCGGGAGGTATTTAGTGGAGTCAGCTCAGACTCAGGGATGGGGGCTTTCCCTTTAGAAATTCTATCGAACACGCTGCGGCGATCTCGGCCGGGGCTTTGGAAACCACCTCCTGCCTTTGCGTCATTTCGACCGAGGTCCTTCCCTTTTCGGGTATCAACCCTCGGGCGAGCAACTTGGACCTCTTTCTTCATACGGTTGAGGTCTTCGGCTTGTATGCCCTTCTCGACCTTGGACCACAACTCGTGGAGGGTGCGGGGGTATTTTTTATGAATCCCCGTGTTGAATACCCCGGATACGAGCCCATGGGTAAAGGCAGCTATGGTAACCTGCTCATTGGGGTCGGGTATTTGTACACTTTCCTCATTGAACCTCTGGACGTATGACCGGAGTGATTCCCCCGGGTTCTGTTGCATACTCAGCAGGTAAGCCGAGGTCCTAGTTGTAGGTCGAGAGGAGATAAACCGGTGAAGAAATCTCTCCACTAATTCTCCCAGGGTCGAAATGCTCCTAGGTTCCAAACTTGCGAACCATTTTCGGGCTGTGCCCTGGAGGAATACGGGAAAAGCCCGGCAGATGACGGGGTCAGGAATGCAGTACATGCGGAAAGCGGAGATGAAGGCGTGGATGTGATCCTCAGGATCACCTCGGCCATCATAAGATTGTATTGATGGAAGCTTGAAATTTGGAGGAAGCCTTTCCTCATTGATATCGTCAGTGAAGGGTGGGGCTCTCATGTAATCCACCCCAGGTCTTCCCAAAGGCCGAGGCTCTTCCTCGGGTCGTCTCCCTAGGAGCCCTCGAGAAAAGGCCTTAGTAATAGAGGCTACCTTGGAGGTGGCCTTAGAGAAGGCCCGTTTCGACGCACTTCGGCTCAGGCGCCTTCCATCTGACTCCTCTTCGGATGAGTCTTCAGGAGACCCATCCGACTTCCTCTTGGAGGATTCGGCCTTTTGTTTGCCTTGCCTCTTGAGGTATCTTCCCAACTCCTCGAAAATGTTGGGGTTTTCATTTACGAACTCGGCCATACGAGTTATGGCTTCTTCGTTCGGGGGCGGAGCCCTCGGGGGCTCCTGTCCTTCAGAAATATTCTCCGGTTGAACTGCATTGCTTTGCTCAGCCTCTATAGTGAGAGCTTTTCTGCTCTTAGAACGCGCAGGCTTCATTTTCTACTGTCTTTGCGTTCCCACAGACGGCGCCAATTGAAGAGGTAAATTCTGACCGGATGAAGAGAATTTACCGGACTGAGAATACCTCCTCCTGGAGACTGGTCACTGTGACGAAGTCACCTGCTCAGGCTATGGGGGGGCTGAATCCCCCGATATGACTCCGAAGCTTAAGTCAGTTCGGAAGTAAAGAGAGTTGGATAGTGAATGAGGAGAGTATTGTTTTACCTGAAATTCATCATCCCCCTTTTTAGTAGAAGGGTTGAGTATTTATAGGGGAAGGTTGCGTGGGAAGAACCTCCATCACAGGTCCCTAGAGATCTGATTCGGTCAGCGCATCCGGTGAATTAGACCGGTCCCTATGAAAAGACATGATGGGACGTTGGAAAGGTTCAGGCGACGCGTCAGGACAACCTTCTGTCGGGTGTCAGAGGCTCCAGGAGTCACATCCAACCTTTATGCTGTAGTCGGGTGTCCATAGGTCACCTCGGCTATGAGATTGACCGAGGTGACCAAAGGGCGGGGAGTGACTCGATGGACGGTGTTCGGAGCGGGAGACCCGGGGTGAGCCACCGGATTACCCCGGCCGAGACCACCATCCTCAGAACTCAATGATGTAAAACGGTTGGGTCCAACCAATTGTCAAGGTAAATTGATTATGCCTCTCTTCTCATCATATTTAGGAGGAATTACCCTGGAGTTCATTATTGATAAAGACGTGTAGGATTGGTTCGGTTTTTTTATGGCGGCAATCATGCAAACTGCTTTAAATAGAGAAACTTGAACTGGGATTGGTACGTTTTGCACACAATAATGGCTAATGAAGTTCGGGTTTTTTTTTTTTTTTTTTTGGGTTTTATGAATCGACACAATAATGACTAAAGAAATTCTGCTCAAAAACAATTTTGACTTTTGCCCAAAATTAAAATTGAGAGAAATATATTAGTAATTACGGGTACGATTTTGACTTTTGACCAAAATTAGAGATGAGAGTGATGGAAATGGAATTGAATGGTTAACACCGTAAAAGGAAAGGATTTATGAAAGGGTCGCGTGATATCAGACTGGTACGGGTTCATGCCCCGTAGCCACAAGCGTCCGCGTCTAATTTACCCACTAATTTTGCATTAAAAAAACTACTTTCAGGCTTCCACAAAACAGGGAAATAACTAGCAAAAGCGCAAAAAAAAAACAGAACATTTCAAAGCAATAGCCAAGTACGATGAATCTGGAAGAAGGCGATGCCAAATGCAGCCCTCTTGCCTGCAACCGGTCGCTGTTACTACGATTAACCAATATGCTATTTACGGTTTGCAGCCAACGTATTACAAATGGAATGATAAGATTGTTTGCTTGCAGAAGAGGATCGGAACCGAAGCTGGGAATTGATTGTAAGATTATAAGATACTACCATGTAGACAAAGCGGAATGTATCTTTAGTATTACGTTTCTAGAAACCACACTGCCACTCTTTTCATGGCAAATAACGAAGACACACTTTGCTTTCTTTGTCACCCTGAGTTTCACTTCACGACTCTGCTTTTTGCAAAAGACGGATTCGTGTCCCATGATGACTGTATAATTATGCGGATGTCTTTCATCAAAATCGCAAAAGGCGAGTACAATCTCAGACTCTTTTTTTTTTTATTGAAGGCTCGGCCATTAAATCCATGCGTCAATAAATAAAAAGACCAGCTGAAAATAGACAGGCGAGGAGGCCTGAATCTAGACTGTGATAAGGTTGGTACCTTGGAATTGTCGGGTCCTTCAACGGACAGAACAGAGGATTGCACCATGGCTTCAATAATTTTTTGTGTGTGTGTGTGTGTGTGTACAAAAAGGGTTTTAAAATATTATTCATGTGTAGAACGTTTTTAGCATCTTTGGCTAACTAGTAGTAGCGAGTTTTGTACCCTTTCGCCATATATTTCTTTGCATAAATTATCAACCCGAAGAAGGAAATGAGCTTTTATGGTTGGTACCTGCACCTAACTAAACACTTCCAGAAATAAATAAGTTATGTGTTTAGGGTGCAGATAGCTAGTGAGATGTTTTGTAGCAGTAATTATATAAAACCCAAAAAAAAAAAAAAAAAAAAAACCAAAAGTGTTGAATTTTACCAATATGGGTCATCGGTTACTTTCTTCTTCCACTATTGCTAAGAAAGAGTTGATGTCAGAGAGAATAGCTGAATTGATCCATTCAAGCGGTAAGCATGGGAAAGAAAGTGGAATAAATATCAAATATATTTAATTTGCGTTCATGAACTTGTTCACCAGCGTTAATGAGTTTATGTCTCGTCGGGATTTCGTGTACTGCTGGCCCTCCCACTAGCCTAAAATTTTGTTTATGTTTGTATCGGAGTGTGCCATTCGTTTGTGGAATAGAAAAGCGTTTTTTCTTGCTATATCTATTATATGTTAAGCGTTATCTAAAAAAGAAGTGGTGCGAAGTATTTATTTTTTTCCCACAAGAAAGAAAGAAAGGTGATTAAACAGGCTTTGCAGAGCACCCCGGTAGGAAGTTTCTTGCATACATTCCATGGACTATTACTAATGCAAATATGTAGTAATCAGTCCACTCCACTAATGTAGTATTGTTAAACTATCCATTCAATTTTGCCGTCTTGATCATAATAAGGAATCAAATTGTCCCACTGGAAATTTATGCTACTTCACACTAAACTTTGACTGGATTAATTAGAATGGCACTTACCCATTAACTTGTTACTAGTACAACAGCCCCAGAACAATTATATATATTCTGGGGATGAAGCCTCTTAATGTCGCTCACGAGCTTGCACGATTCTATCGTTCAGTCTGTTGTTCAACCTAGGACTGCAAACGAATCTAACCGCTCGCGAGCGATTCGAATTCGAATTCGACTCGAACTCGATTAACATCGAATATGAGTTGAATTTGAGCTGATCAAATCAAATTCGAACTCGAATTTAAGTTCAAAAATACTAAACTCGTTAGCTCGCGAACCGATTCGATCTCGATTACATTATATATATATAATTTTTTATTTTAATAATAAAATTACATATATATTCATAATATTTTTATTATTAATTAAGAAAAATTATTTTTTGTCTTTTAAAACTCGAACTCAAATCTGACATTTTGAACTCGTCGAATTTGAGCGCGAGTTCGAGTGTTGTAAAATTACGTTGAAATTTAGACTCGAAATGTCAAGTTCAAATTTGATTTCGAATCTCATAAAATTATGTCAAGACTTTGCTTGATTAGATCGAAACTCGAGTCGATTCGACTTATCTGTGCCCCTAGTTTGACTTCGACCTATCAAAATAGAAAGGAATAAAAGCCTTTCATTCGGACTCGTATTTATGCAGCTGTTCCGGTAATTTTGGTGCCCCCGGCCCCAACCCAATGACGACTAGACTCCGCCGCCGTGCGTCATTTTGACTCACGTGGCCCGAAACCGAAAGGCATCCCCTTGCCCCTGAAATGAAATCCTAACTCTCCTAGTGTAAAGTGTGTAACCTCCACACACTCACACTCCATGCATCATGATTCATGACACGAGTGTTGTAAGACCTGGCAGTTTTTTGTCTTACGCGGGTGGGTCAATGGTCAAATTGCCCGGGGGGGTACACGAATGCATCTGATGCCACAACAACGTTGCCGGGACATCCCCTCTTTGCCCAAAATCCAGTAATCTATGACTATGACCCTTTTTTTTTTAATAATATATATTTAAAAAAAAAAAGAAAAAAGGAAAAAAATAAGATAGGATGTTCTCTGGTAGTACTTTTGGATTATCCATTTTTCAGGAGTCTATAAAGGGGGAGGTCGGCGTCCTAACTTCGTCGAACGCCCAAATTTGGCATCTCCACTGGTAGTTGCTGCTAATAAGCTATATAGAATTCAAAAGAATTCATTCGAAATTCAGAAATGGAGGCTAATAGGTCGTTATTCCAATTTCACGACACTATAATTTTAGATTGCCCCTTCGAATCATCATCTTCATTTGATTCACCCCAACCGCATTCTTTCACCCCATCATCATCATCATCATCGTTATCAACATCACCTTCGTCATCATCATGGGATGAGGTGCTTTTCCAGCACAATTGCGATTTTCTTCCCTTCAATTTCAATGACTCTCAAGACATGTTTCTTTTCGATGTCCTGGCCGAGGGAGCAGGAGCCTCTGCCAGAGATGCTTCTTTGAGACAATCCTCCTCGGAAACCAACTCCAACTCCAACTCCTCCGGCGGCGGCGTTAGGGAGGAAGAGGTGACTTCCAACGTCACAAAAGAAACAAACAAGGAAAAGAGTTACAGAGGAGTCCGCAGGCGGCCGTGGGGAAAATATGCAGCTGAAATCAGGGATTCCACGAGGAAGGGAATCCGGGTGTGGCTCGGAACGTTCGATAGCGCCGAAGCTGCTGCTTTGGCGTATGATCAAGCTGCATTTTGTATGAGGGGTCCCATGGCCGTGCTCAATTTTCCTGTGGATGTGGTGCAAGAGTCCCTTCGTGATATGAAATGCGGTTCTGAAGGAGGAGGAGGAGGGTGCTCTCCCGTGGTGGCACTGAAGCAGAGGCATTCAATCAAAAAGAAAAAATCCTCAATTAGGAATCACAAAATTGCAAGAGAGGCGGCAGCCAAGGTAGAGAATGTGGTTATATTGGAGGATTTGGGAGCTGAATATTTGGAAGAACTATTAAATTCATCATCAGAAATCCCTGCTGCCCTGTGACTCTCTCTCTCTCTCTCTGCTGTACCGCTCAAACAATAACAATTCCTTCTCCGTTTGTATATAAATTTGCTCCTTTCCTTTTTTTTTTTTTTCTTTGTTTGAAAAAAGAGAGAACCTTTTCTTTTCTTTTCTTTTCTTTTTTAGTCATTTCTGTTCCCTCTGAGGATGTGTGGTTTTTTTTTTTCTTTTCCTTTTGTTTTAAGAAAAAGGCGATCAGCGTAAAGTAATTACTACTACTAATTAATTACATCCATTTTGATTCTGTCTGCGGCT